GGCCAAAAACCCAATAGTAATCTTTTAATGCATCTCCTACTCTCTCCCATCTTTTTTGTATCAATAGAGCCCTCTAAAGGGAACCAAGGGCAAACCTTATGAATACATTGAAAATATTGTAGTAAATCTTTTTCTTTAGCCTTAATCCCTCTTGTCTTTAATGCCTTACTTAGGCCTCCCATGAAAAGCTTGTGATCAATGCTTGACCCATGCCAGAAAAAAAGGGGAAAGGATCACCATCCATTTACTGTGACTCGAGTGGCGCAGCAGGCTCCTGCGTAGCATTGGTCACAAAACTCTTAGTTTCCCTTTTACGTGCGCATCCCTGGATGGCTCCCTCGTTGGATCCTCCATGCCAGGTGCCCCATGCTGGGTGCCACTTGACCTGGCCCATGGGTCAGTCCGTGGGTAACCACCTGGAGGAGGAATGGGGATTAACAAAGACAGGGCAAGAGACAAAGAGAGACAGAGACAAGTTGAGGAAGTCCAATCAAGTCTCGTTTATTCAGGAAGTGGGCGCAGCTTTTATAGGGCAAAGGTGGGCCGGTGGGACAGTAAGAAGCTACGGAGTGATCTCTGATGGGTCATCATCATATCCGTGTATGTGACGTGAGCAGGAGAGGATCACGGTTGATGTAGGTGCACTATGTGCCCATATAAGGCAGAGGCAGGAAGACAGCAGCAGGGTGGTGGCGCCACTCCCTACAGGTGTCATAATGAATTTTATTGTCTTCACAGTTGTTGCCTATACTTTCAAACTTGGTACCATCAAGCAAAACAGAATTGAGGAAAATCAGTCAAAACAAGACGGTGAGAGCAATACAGGGTTTCAAATCAAGTTAATAGGAAATCAAAGTGGGTTACTATAATATATCCTGCTATTTTTTATTTATTTTTCCCTTCATTAAAAAGTTAAAAATAAAAAAGTAAATAATAAAAAAGGAGATTGAGATAAAAGAGGGCATAACAACAAAACAGCACAGATCAGAACATAACCATTTATGCAAAATAGTGTTTCACCATAAGATAACCCGACATAAAAGTAGTTACCATAGTGTCTCTTTCCTTGAAATCTAGAGCATCAAACATATCAAGACAATGTAAAACCATTCAAGAGAATGACAGTATTATAGGGTATTTAGAATCAACTAACAGAAAATGCACAGTGGTTTCTGTATAATCTCCTTGTCTATAAAAGTTTTTGTTTATATTATCACATATAATAAAATCCAATAAGATACAGCATGTTAAGACCGATGGAGACAGAAGAACAAAAGCTTGATGGGACTTCAAAACAAGATGATATTAAATCAACAGTAGCTATTATGATGTCTTGTTTTCTCCAAAATAGCTGTTCCTACCATACAACCTTCTCTGCCTCATTTCTGTTGAGCTCTTTTTCTGTCATTAGTTGTCAGTTTGTCTTCTTCATTTCGCTTTCTGCTCCATTCATTGTGACCTCTCTGCCACTGTTTCTGGAATCTTGGGATTTTTTTTTTTTAGAATGTCCCGCAGTATTCTCTGTAGAGTTGAACTGGTGGTTGAAAATTCCTCTAGTTCCGTCTTTATCCTGGAAGCACCTTGTTTTTCCATCAATTTCTAGGGATAGTTGTGCAGGATATATCAATCTTGGCTGGAGGTTATTATCTTTCAAAGCTTGAATTATTTCCCCCCACGCTCTTTGTGATTTGATGGTTTGTACTGAGAAGTCTGCTGTAATTCTGATGGGTGTTCCTTTGTAAGTGATCTTCTTTCTGATGGCTTTTAATATTCTGTTCTTATATTGGATTTCTGGAATTTTGATTATTATATGCCTGGGTGTAGTTCTGTTTGGGTGGTAGGTGGCTGGAGTCCTGTATGCCTCATATATCTGAGTATCTTTACCTTTTGCTAAATTGGGGGAATTCTCCTGGATTATTTCTGTGAATAGCCTTTGTAGTTCACTTGTTTGTGTCCCTACTTCTTTTACATTCTTAATTCTTAAGTTATAGATCCTCTTATCATCTTCTAGCCTTTGTTTTATTGCTGTTTGTTTCCTTGTTATTTTTAAGAAGTTTTTCATTTCATGCTCCCACATTGCAAATCTGTCCTCCAGTTCTATGCCAGCTTTCAATAGAGATTTAGTTTCCTGGTAATCTTTGAACCTGCTTCATGTATTCTATGTTTTCTCTATTTTCTTCATCAAACAATTCTCTTTTTTTCTGTTCTTCCATTCCACCATCTGTTTTTTTCTTGGGTGGTGCTTAGCGTTTCTCTAACTATTCTACTTATATCTTGGAGATATCGCTTTATGTCTATTGGTGCCATGTCTGATATTGCATGTTTTCTGTCCTCATTCTCCTTTGCTTTTACCTTTCCTAGATCAGTGTTCTCAGGATTGGTGGCCAAGGACCCTTTTTTGTTGCCTCCCCTTCTCATGTTTTTTGTTCCTTCTGTACAGGTGTATATAGGAGATCCAGTTTCTTTCTTTCTTTGTTGGTTACAGTTTGTTTGAATTGCACTGACTAGGTGTTCCCACCCACTGCAGTGTACTAGGGAGACCTAGACCTGGGAAGCCTCTGCTTGGCCTGCTCCTCCAGGTCAACCTACTGAAGGCTTCACTGCTAGTGTTTACCACCAGGTGCTGGGACCTGGGTTGGGCTAGCCTACTAGGTCTTAGTCCATGGCGTCACCCAGGCCAAGCGCTCCCCACCAATCCCTCTTGAGAGGGGAATATGTGACTAAAGTCACTCAGCATCCTGTTCCGGCTAGTCTGCCCATCCCAGAATGTCCTCTGTTGGAGCCTCCTAGTCTATGGAAGGGTCCCCGTTCCTCTCATTGACCGCAGGTCAATGCAGGGCTCTCCGCCAGTCCCGCGCTCAACTCTGTTCGCCGAGTCCCGCTCTCAGAGCTTTCGCATCTCTATCCCTGCTGTGCTGATTCAGATGCAGCAGCAGTGGCAGGAAATTCAAATCACGGTTTCCCAGAGGCGCAGGTTCAGCACTGAGATTTTATCTGTTCCAGTCATAGCACCAGGATTGCATTTCCAGTTGGTTTCTCTCAGCTTAGTTCGTTCCTGAGTCAGCAGGGTATATCTCCCCTTGCTTAGGACTCCTCACACTGCACCATTCCTGGATTCTAAGCTGGCTATCTCAGAGAGCCTCCATAGCTGCTGTTATCTATCTGCCATGTTCTCCAGGAAGTCTCAGAACACTAACGCCACCTTGAAAGCTTTGCACAGCTGGGAGTGATGTGCCTTCTTCACTTCCTTGTTGGCCAAAATCTTCTCCAGGGCCTGGGTCAAAAACATATTCTTCATCTTTTTCCCTTCATACATGGATGCAGAGAAGGAGGTGGCGGCTCATCTGACCCGTGGCTCCCAGCTGACTTCCTTAGTTTTTTTTTTTTTTTTTTTTTTTTTTTTGTCTTTTTCCTTTTTATCGGTACCGGGGATCGAACTCACGACTGCAGGCTTGCAAGGCAGGTGCTTATGCCGCTGAGCTAAATCCCCAGCCCCAACTTCCTTAGTTTTTAACTTGGGTTCTTTTTTCCAGTTTCAGCCTTCTCTAGACACGTGACCTTGAGCATTCTCTTCCCTTCTATAAGCTTCTTTTTCCTTATGAATAAGGGAGGATGATATCTATTTTGCCTTTTTCATAGAGCTCCAAGGAGTTAATATGAGACAAAGGACTTGGAGGAACCAGAAAATCCCAATCCTTTGGCAAGGTAGGGTCGCATTAGTATTTTCCCACCATCAATTTGGATGCTTGCCTGGCTCAGGTGAATCCATTCTTACACTGACCTCTCTTAGTCATTCTGAATCCTTTTTATCCAACCCTTGTACTCGTGCCAAGAAGAGGAGACAAAAGCAATACGGACCATCAGCTGTCAATGAAGGGGTAGGAGAGAAGTCCTATTCTCATTCTCATGTATCTTTACATCTCTTAGTTTTCTTCACTTTTGCATCTTCCATCTTCACTAAGTGACCTCGAAATTCCTGATCTGGAGAATCTGTGCCTGTCCCTTATACTTGCCTTGTGAACAAATTACCTAAGATATTGGGCAGAACAGAAAAGAGAATCAGCAGCACCTGATTCACTGGTTGCTTGGAACATTGTATTAGGAAGTAAAACCCCTCAATGGGAAGGAATATAGCAATCTACTGTAAACATGGGAAGTGAGGACAGCAACACTTGTGCTGTCACTGGCCACATTGGTTTAGAGGTCTATAATGAATCAATTCTAATAAATGAAACAACTTTTTTTGTAGTTTTGAGACAGGGTCTCATTATGCAGTTCAGGCTGGGCTTGAGCTCACTTTGTAGCGCAGGCTGGGTCTCAAACTTGCAAGGATCCTCAGCTTCCCGAGTGCTGAGATTATAGGTGTACATCACCACGCCCAGCTTCGAATGAACAATTATTGAAAGCTGGGAGGTTTTCAGAAAACTTCAAACAGAGCTTTTCTCCTTGGGACCTTAGACTCCTGGGTTATTTATAAAATCAGTTAATGGTTTATATCTTATTTTTTGATAGTATGAAAGCTTAGTTCCTTATCTGTGGTGTGGCTGGCTTGGTTAACTACAAGGTGATACTATTTTCTTTCCCTCTGGGTAGAATTGTATCAACTCCATTCACAAGCCCTGGATGTATCACAATGATTTAAATTTTCTGGAATCACAGAAACTTGTAAAATGTTATTGCCAATTGAATCCAAGACCTGCAATGGATGCAACTACAGAGTGATGATATAAGATAAGAGATTGATTACAGGGAGCAACACTTAAACAAACTTGGTAACTGAGAGGTTGGGAATTACTGGTCTAAATAACATATGCTGTAAATCTTAATATATTCCTTCAAATACTACCCTGAGTTTCTGGAAATTCTAGGGCTTTCAAATTGTGACGATTGTGTCATGAGCTTACTTCGAAATGCCCATCTCTATTTCAGAATGAATTACTTGAGACTTTTTAAAAATAACAAATAATTTCTATTAAATAATTAAATGTCTTTTGTTACAGAATTCAAAAGGCTGTATGCACTGCTGTGGAATTCTAAAGGGTAAGGTTTTGGGAGTTTAGTTTGCCACTTTGGGGTCCAGTGCTGGCAAGGCTGTGAGTGAAAAGCTCAGCTGGTGCTCACAGAGCCCTGTCTGCCCTTCAGGCCACCTGGCTGCCTTGCTGAGGGGAAGGTGTTTGTTCCTGTTGGTCAAGTGGTAATGCATCTCAGTGCAAAGCTACACATAACCACGAAATAGCTAGTGATTAAATGTTTTGTTTTTCTGGGTTTTCTTTAGGGTGCTCCCTTCCTTTGTCCTTCCTCCCTTTCTTTCTTTCTTTCTTTTCTTTCTTTCTTTCTTTCTTTCTTTCTTTCTTTCTTTCTTTCTTTCTCTCTCTCTCTCTTTTCTTTCTCCTTCCTTCCTTCCTTCCTTCCTTCCTTTCGTTTGTCATCAGTACTGATTATTAAACCCAAGACCTTTGTTCTAAGCTAAATCCCCAGTCTTTTGTTTGTTTGTTCATTTTTGAAATAGGGAATTGGCACTTTCCTAAGTGCCCAGGTTGGATTCAAACCTGCAATTCTCCTGCCTCCCCCCTCCCACAGTGCCAGGGTTACAGACATGTGCCAGCTCCTTCCATTTTTTTTCTCATCCTAAACTTCCCTTGCAAAATAAAATTTCTGCACTTTAAGTAATTTCCTCTTTAAGGCCCTTTTAACAAACAAACAAACCTTGGAGAGTGACACAGCGGGAGCCAGGGAAGGAAAGGAACAGATTAAGAGCCAAAAGTCTCTCCTAGAAACAATGGAAAGGTATTCTGTAATAAGGAACCTTTCTAGTGATACTTCTTGACTCCTCACTTTCATAAATTTTTCTTTTGGTCTTAAAATTTTCCTCCCTCGGGCCAAGGGTTTAGCTCAACAGTGTAAGCAGCTGCCTGGGAAGTGTGAGACCATGAGTTCGGTCCATGGTACAAAAAAATTTTTTTTCCTTCCTCTTTTCACACTTCTCTCCTTTCACACTCCTGGCCTCTTTTCTAAATTCATGTTTTTCTTCTGGCCTCTTCCAGTCTCCTTGGATTCTCCTGCTTCTTTCTTCCTTGTTATAGTGTAGATCTAAAATCCCTACCTCCTAGTCTCGTGTTTCAAAGGTGATTTGGTCGTGGGGATGGTATGCTCATCAGTGGATCATCTCAGCAATGAGAGAAAGCAACTAAGACACACTAGATCCAGGCTACATTTATGGTTAAATAAGCTCAGGAAATACTATACAAACCTCTTAGAGATTTAGCATCCCACAGATTTCCAAAAGTTCTGTTACAAAGAAACTGGTCAAACATGGTTGATCCTAGCGGTCTCAAAACCTCTTGGCCTCAGTGTCTTTTCTCTTCAAATAAATGAATGTCACTGAGGTTACATTTTGGGAAACTCTGCAGTAGATCTTCCTGTCTTGGCCCACTTTGAGGTGTCTGAGCGCTTCTTTTATCCATGCAACCCTGATGTTAAAGGGTTTTCTCACTTTCTGAGCCTGTCTTCAGGACACGCCAGCCAGGGTCTCCCTTTTTGTTATTCCTTTCACTGCTCAGTACCATTTGCAAAATCTATACTGCTCACCTCTCCTATTAAATGTTTAAGACTGAGAGCTTTTTCCCTCCTAACAAATTATCAAAGATGGTTTTTGGAGAATATTATGCAGTACGGCAGAAGTACAGAAGGAGAATATTTTGATTCTCTGCTGGTTGTCGTATAAATTGGTACAATCATTCTAGAGGCAATTTAGCACTATGTAACCAAAGCCTTAAAATTCTGTCTTTTGACTTTATCCTGAAAAAATAATTGTGGAGATAAGCAAAGATTTAGCGCTTGATAATTTTCTTTCTTTCTTTCTTTCTTTCTTTTTTTAACTGCAGTGTTGTTTATAACAGCAAAAATTTGGAAAAAACCTCAACGGGGGAGACTAGTGGTGTATACTGTGGCACATTCCTATGACAGAGTATTATGCAGCTCTTAAAGGGTACAGATTTAAAAGCCTATTTATTGGCATAAAATGGTTGCCCCAAGTTAACTCTGTGTAAATAAGTATATATATATATATATATATATATATATATAGGTATAGAATCAGCCCATTTCCCTCAAAACACAGTAAGATAAGTGTGAAATATTCATATTAACATAAAAAAAAAAAACATGGAAAGAATAGTCACCAAAATCTGGCAGCAATTTCTCTTACTGGGTAGCTCATTTCAACTTCTTGTTTATCTTTGCTTTCTGATTTCTATATAAAAACTTGTGCTTTTGTATATTGGAAGGAAATAGAAACAGTAACAAAAATGGCTGGTGATCATTCACAAGCTTTGTTACCATTTGAAGTTCCAGTTTACTCCAAATAGGGTCCTGGACACACCAACTGGGACTTCTCTGTCTCTTGGGGAATAAGCACTCCATGAGGAAGGTCAAAGAGAATGTCAACCTTCCTTTTGCTATCTGAGGAAATCTGGATCCGAGAGCCAGCTTCTGGATTGTGATGGTGCAATTGACTAAGGAAAAAAAAAGGTCAACACACACCACCATCTATTTATTTAATATTAAAAATAATATTTCACTGAGTTTGGCTGGCGTCAGTTCGAGCAGTTAGTCATACAGGAATTCAAACAAAAGCAGTCTTGGCCCTGGGCCAGGGTGTTGGTGCTGGGTGGTCTATGTCAGTCCTCGGCTCAGACTAGCTCCTAGGCTGCTTGCAGACCTGCCTCGGGTTGGGAAGATGATGTATTCATTTATTTATCAGAAATGTTTTAACAGGAAATGCTAATCGTTTGCATTTAGGGAGAACTGCCCCGAGACAGCTGGCGGAACCCAGCAGACCTTACTGGGGAGACTGCTGCTCTTTGCCTTGGGGTTGACTCAGGGCCTGTTAGAGAGTATACACTAGAACCACAGCACACCAAGTTAGCTCAGAATATCCTGATTGCTTTGTGTCAGGACAAAAGAGAAAGAAACCAGCTCATTCTTTTCATCATTCCCATCTCTGTTGTCATATTCCACCCCACTCCCACCCCCCAGGAACCTAAAGTTGTGTTTTTGCTGTGGCTGTGAAGCAAATAGATAGGTTCTTCTAGGAGTGAACAGGCCCTTTAGCTGCATGAAGCACAAAAACCTCCAGCCGGGTTTATGACACCTGGAAGAAGGCAGCACACATAATTGGAACCCACTCATGAATTTAATAGTGGGCTGGTGGAGTTGTGTGTGGGTTCAGGGGTTATACAAGAATGAGAATGTGTGAAAGACAAGTGTTGGCAAGGGATTGCAGGCATCTCCCCAAGCTCCAGGCTGCGTTCCATTGTTAGATCACATTCACGTGTAATTTTGTGGCATCCAAGAAAATTATAAGAAGAGAGGAGAATACTCGGGCATTAATGCGTGCGTATGAGAGGTGTATGAGCAGGTTTGTGTTTTTAAAAGTCCTCCTGAAGCTGTTCAAAATAATGCAGAGCAGAATTTCATTCACGGGGGAAGGGCGTGGGGAATGGGTCTAACCCTGTCTGGCAGGACAAAGTGCTGTTCCTGTGTTTCCAGATAACAATGGAGGTGAAGCCTGACCCTGGAAACCCGTCAAGATTCCCAGAGATAAACCCTTAGGCAGCAAGAACACTGTCAATGAAAAGAAACTGACCTTTCTTCTCCTGAGTCACAAAATTCCCACAAATGCTGTGTCCCTGGTTGGCTCTGGCAGGACTCACCACCACAGCCCAGACCCCGACGCCACTTCGTAAACAGCGGGGAGGGCACTGCTGGAGCCTTGAGGAAGTTCGGTGCTAGAAGCATTGTGAGAGCATCAGCAACTCTGGCACCTCAGAACTCAGAATGCCTCTCTTTTTCTCTCAAGCTCATACAGTTAGGAGAGAGCCCTTTAAATGGTTTTCCTCTGGCAGCATGGTCTGCTGCTCCTGAGGGACCTCACGGGAGCCTTAATTGACACATAAGGGGTCAAAAACCTGCCAAGAGCCTCTGGAAGGACTGTGGTGCCCTCAGAACACGAAGCAGGAAATCTCAGGGCTCAGAGAATAGAGGACTTGGTGGGGCAAAGAGGAATGGAACCAGAGGAGGGAAGAGGGAAGTACTACGGTTTGTCCCCACCAAAACTGATTTGGGAGTTTAATCCCACTGAGAGAGACGTATTGAAGGGTAAAAACTTAATCTCACCGTGGCATTTAGAAGTCAGGTCTTCAGGAGGTAACTAGGGTTAGATAAAATCATCAGGTGGAACCTCACAGTTCAATCTGATGGTTTTCTAAGAACAGCAATACTTCAGATGGTATGCTCGTACACACGCTGCCTGCCTCATTACCTGGCCTCAGGTAATGAGGCCATGCCTGGACACAGCCTCACAGTCTTCAACTAGAACTGTGAGCCAGATCAAACATCTTTTGTGTTATGAGCAACAAAAAATGGGTTACTGCAAAAAGAGCTGCACTGATAATATTAAGAACAGCTAAATAGAAGCTAGAAACCCACTGAATATCTTGCTTATGGTCCAAATTGAATCTCTTTAAACTTGAATTTCCTCAGAAAAAGAGGGAGAGAAAGAGAGACTATGAATACTGTAAACTAGGACGTTTTTCTCTGACAACTGCTTTGCTTTACAACCCAGAAAACCATGAAATGCCACGTAAGTCTCTCAAACAATGATTCTGAACCTTGGCTATACATAAAATCACTTGGAGGAGCTCTAGACAATGTTAATGCATGAGTCCCATCCTCAGTTATTGATAGAATTGGTGTGGATGACTCCAGGACATGAGGATTTCTCTCTCATTTTATGAATTCTCCTGTCAACTTCCAACCTAAAATGTATTTTGTAAAGTTCTGTCTGTAACCCTCACATTCTTTGTATTTCTCTTCCTACTTTATTAGCTATGACTTCTTTGGGAGAAGCGATTCATGCAAACATCTTTCTTTTGTCCATGTATACCTGGGACCAATTTATATTTGGTCCCAGATTTAATATCTAGTCTCCAAAGCTTCTCTGTGTGTTGGCTTCCCTCTTTATTTATTGATGTATCTTCCATTATTTTGTTACCAAGGCTCAAAACCTTAGTGTTTCTTCATATGATGAATTTTTAAATGTATTGCTAGTGTTCCTACTCTTCCTTCTGCTCATCCATAAAGAGAATACTGTCTTTGTTGGCTGGCCAAGCTTGCCTTCCTAAGAAAATTCTGCTTAGCCAGGATTGGTGGTGTCCCAGCTTTCAGAAAGCTGAGGCAGGAGAATTACCTTGAGTTTGAGGCAAGCCTGGACCACAAAGTGAGTTCAAGGATAGCCTGAACTACAGAGTGAAACCCTGTCCCAACAAACAAACAAATTCACAGAATTCTGCCTAAATCAGGACAATTGTTAGGCTTCATGAAAGAAAGTTTAAGAATTGTTCCTAATGCTTAAGACATGTATGCCTTTTGATGTTCTCAGGGGATGGCAAGAAAATTTATGAATTAGTTTCAAAATAGTTCAGATGTTAGACTGGACATTAGTTCTTTGTTGTTTTGAGACTGAGCCATGTGCGTGGTCAGTTAATATTTGCATTAGACTCAACATCATCTTTCTCATTTGCTATTTAAAAATATTCCTAAATGTCATGAATTCGATTCCAGTACCAAAAAAAAAAAAAAAATTTGCTAAATCCTGTGATTTTTTTGCCCTCTAGCCATATCACTCTCTACTGTCCAGCAACTTCATATTCTCCAGCTAGACTACCTACTTTTATACAAAGCATATCTCAAAGTTTTTCCTTTGGACTTGGCTCATTCCATTTCCTACATCCAGAATCACTGCTCATTTCCATCATCTGAAATTCTCTCTATGATTCCGAGCCCAGTACACATAAAGTGATTTACTGCACTTTGGTTTATATTCTCATTCAGTTTGTTCTAACATCTCTTTGCTACTAAAGCAAAGAGCAATATAGTTAGGCACTAACAGTTTTCAGGTGAATAAAAATATTATTCGATTTGATAAATATGTAAATCAATTATTTTAATTCCATAAAATACATAAATAACTTTAAAGATAGAAACATGCTTTTAGATTTAAATGCAGATATCTACTTTGAGCCAGGATGGAGAACCAGATTGCTTACTTTCTTACCTGAAATAATAAAAAAAAAATTGACAGAATATATTAAACAACAGTTTGAAAGTCTTTTCTATGATATTCCACATATTCTACATCCCTTCCTGCCCTTGCCTGTGAACATCCTTCCATAGCAAGGATGATGATGATAATTCTAATAGCTAAAATTTATATCGTGCGTACTGTGTCCAGGGACTGTTTTAAGTGTTTTGCTTACATCATTTTATTTAGTTATTGCAACAACCCCTGGAGGTAGTACTGTAGAAGGCTAGGACAGGAAGGTCAAGACATTTTCTCAAAGTTACCCAGTTATAACTGTCACAGATAAGAGTTGAATCCAGGCTCTAGAATCTGGATAGGACACTTAAACTTTAACGGCTTGATACATGCCTAAAATATCCTCATCGTTCTGTGTCTACAAGAAGTTTCCATTTGTTATTGCTTCACATTTTGTACCTCCCCCTGCTCAGCACTATCAAATAAATATGTGCTTCCCTGTTGTCAGATTTCAACGGGTCTCACTGGCACTCAAGCGGAAGGCATCAGCACACGCACAATTCGGATTTTGACTTAGAGAGATCCACTTTAGATTCAAGTCTTCAGGGACACTTAGCCTAAGAGCAGGGAACATATGTTTATAAATTTTACCTTTGAGTTTCATCTTTTTCCTCATAATGTCTTTGACGTGTCATCTGTAAAGCAAACCACAGAATAGCTATACTTGAGTGAGGCAAAGATTTAATGCTGCTGCTCTGGTTCAAGTGGCTATACCTAGAACTGTCTGTGTGTTAGCAGTCATTGAGAAGTACACATAAAGTGATTTACTGCACTTTGGTTTATATTCTCATTCAGTTTGTTCTAACATCTCTTTGCTACTAAAGCAAAGAGCAATATAGTTAGGCACTAACAGTTTTCAGGTGAATAAAAATATTATTCGATTTGATAAATATGTAAATCAATTATTTTAATTCCATAAAATACATAAATAACTTTAAAGATAGAAATATGCTTTTAAATTTAAATGCAGACATCTACTTTGAGCCAGGATGGAGTACCAGATTGCTTACTTTCTTACCTGAAATAATAAAAAAAAAATTGACAGAATATATTAAACAACAGTTTGAAAGACACTGGATAACAGAAGAACAGTGATAGCTGAGAGATATGAAACAAATGAAGTAAGTACTACAGTTTCCCCAGAGAATTTCCAGGCCACAGCACAAGGAAAAGTAACTCAGGCAAACCCCATGAGTTGAGAATCTGATGAGACCAAGGCAGCTGGAGTACAGGAAAGAACAGATCAGCACAGAAACAGGAGGTTTTAGAGGTTTTCAAAGAGGGCATGGTGACTCACACCTGTGATCTTAGCACTCAGCGGGCTGAGATTGGAACACTGTTGGGAATTCAAGGCCAGCCGAACTACATAGCAAAACGCTGTATCAAAAAAAAAAAAAAAAAAAGAGTTCATCTGAGGACTGGTCAGTACATACATATAAGGAAACCATCAGAGACAAGAAAGAATTGCCTAAAATTATTAGAGATGATAGACATTCATACAGGCTGGGAAGAGTGTCTATTCCCATTTGCCAGAGTTGGAAAATTCAAGATTCATGATACACAGCAAGGTATGACTTAATAAGTGAGCACTAATTAATCCTAGACTGAATACTGCTCTAGTTCTGCCTAATAAATCTTAAAAATAAGACCCAAAATGTACAAACTATTTTCAAGTGATTTAACCAAATCACTTACAACAAAGCTTCAGAATATTTTTAGGAACACAGTAATATCCAGCACCCAGCACTCAATAATATGAAACTCAAATGCTTAGAATCAAATTATCAGACATCAAAAAAGCACAAAAGGCATTGCCATGGCAGCACACATCTGTTATCCTAGCTATCTGAGAGACTGAGGAACAAGGAACAAAAGTTTGAGCCCAACCTGGACAACTTAGTGACTTCATAAGATCCTGTCTCAAAGTTGATGGAGATACAGGTCAGCGCGAAGCTCTTGGACTCAGTCCTCAGTAACATACACAGAGAGAGAGCAGTAAAATACAATCTATAGCTAGGAGATAAAGTCCTTGAAATTGATAGATTTGGCAAAGAAGATCTTTAAAAAGTTACCATAACTTTTACATACGTTCTAAAATTTAAGTAGGGACATAAAAGATCTATATACACATTTAAATATCTTTTTTTTTCTAATTACATGGTTAGAAAGAGCATATTTGAAAAATGAACTTTTCTAGAGGGACAATATTTCTTTTCCCAAATATTTTGGCATTATGTTAATAGACTTCTTGTTTATTATATTTTTGCTTTATGTCCTGTTTTGTGATTATTTTTTTATTGTGCTAAAAATACATAAAAGTTGCCATCCCAACCATTTCTAGCTGCACAATTCAGTAGTGCTAAATATACTCTACATATATTGTTTTGCAACCACTTTCCAGGACTTTTCCATCTTGCATAACTTGCATTATACAACTTTCCATTCCCTTCTCTCCTCGATGCTGGAAACTACCATTCTCCTTTCTATTTCTAGGAATTCAATTTCTGTATATTGCATATAAGTGCAGCCCTGTAATATTTGTCTTTTTATGGCTGGCTTAGTTCATTGAGTGTAACATCCTCAAGGTTCATGCATGTTACAGCGGTGACAGACTGCCCTTTTATTTTAAAGCCAGATAATATTCCATCATACATACAGACTGGCCACATTCTGCCAGCGGATAGCTGGGCTGCTTCCACCTCTTGCCTATTCTGAATAGTGCTGCTACAAATAAGGGAATCTGTGAGACATTCTTTTTACACTGGTACCTCAGGACTTTAATTGGTTCCAAGAGACATGCCAAGTTCTATCTTGCACATCAAGAACCAAGCAAGCAGTGAGCATCTGAACAATGTTTTCTTCTGAAAATATGTCAATTACCAAATTTGATTATTTTCAAAGCAGTCAAATACTGAAGTATAACTGGAGTTCTTTTAGATCTATATCCTAGAGTGAAATTTCTGTGCTATATGGTAATTCTACTTTTTTGAAGAATCACAATATTATTTTCCATAGTGGCTTGTTTTGATTTTTCTTTCTTTCTTTCTTTCTTTTTTTTTTTTTTTAAGAGACAGGGTCTCACTATATTGCCCAGGCTGGAGTGCAGTGGCTATTCACAGGCGCGATCCCACTACTGATTAGCACGGGTGTTTTGACCTGCTCCGTTTCCGACCTGGGCCGGTTCACCCCACCTTAGGCAACCTGGTGGTTCCCCGCTCCCGGGAGGTCACCATATTGATGCCAAATTTGGTGGGGACACCCAATCGCATAGCACACTACAGCCCAGAACTCCTGGACTCAGTGATCCTCCCACCTCATCCTCCCGAGTAGCTGGGACTATAGGCTCGCGCCACCACGCCCGGCTGTTTTGAGTTTTCAATCAGGTTTATTGGTACTTTAGAAATACATAATGATCACTTTCATCATAGAGAATTTGTATCTGTACACGATATAACTTGATTCTTTTTGCCCGATCTCCCTATCCTCCCTTCAATCTCTCTTCCTCTTCTTATTTACAAAAGCTTTGTTTCTATTTTTCCTTTTTTTCTCATTTTTTAAAACTTTTCCCTTCTTTCCTTTCCCCCTCCTCCCTCACTTGTCCCCATCCCTGTTTAAACAACAGGAAGAAAATGTTCATTTGTTTACTTTTTATAGCATTCATCCTAATGGGTATGCTGTGATACTCGTGGTTTTGATTTGTATTTCCCCAGTGATTCATGATGCTACCATGTTTCTATATGCTAGTTGGGCATCCATGTAACATCTATGGAAATATGTCCATTAGACTCTTTTGCTCATTTTTTTTTTTCATGTTATGATGCTATACACTGGATCCAGGGTCTTGTAAATACCAAGTATGCACTCTACCACAGTGTACATTCCCTTTCCCTCTTATTCCCATTTTTAAATTGGGTTATTTGAGGGATTTTTGTTGTAGAATTGAAAGGGAAGGCATATATATTCTTTTTAAAAATCCAAATCACATTTTTAGACATGAAAACAATGTGTGAGCTGAAAAGTATACTGGATGAAATTAATCGGAAATTAGACACAGGAAGAGCTTGAAAATATGCAGTAGAACTATCCAAAATGAAACAAGAAAAAAAAAAAAAAAACCAGTAACTGAAGAACACGGTGGGGCTAGGAATTTAGCTCAGTGGCATAAGCAGGCAAGCACAAGGTCATGAGTTTGATCCCTGGTACCAAAAAAAAAAAAAAAAAAAAAAGACTGCAGGTTCAAATACTGCCCCAAAACACAGTGATGTACACCTGTCATTCCAAGCACTCTGGGAGACTGAGCAAAAGGATCACAAATTTCATTCCCATCTGGGCAACTTAGTGAAAGCCTGTCTTAAAATTAAAAAGACTGGCAATATAGCTCAGTGTTAAGGCTATGGGAAAAGTCCCCAGTACCACACACACATACACACATGCACAAAAGAGCTCCAGTGATGTCTAGAATGTCATCAAGAAGCCTAATACACAAGTAATTGGAGTTCTCAAAGGAAAGGAAAGAAAGATCCAAAAATATATTTTATAAATAATACTTCCAAAAATCCAAACATTATGAAAAGCCATAAATTCAAGAATTTCAATAAACCTCACACAAAAGGCTCATCATAAACAAACTGATCAAAGCAGGGATAAAGAGAAAATGTTAAAAGTAGCCCAAAAAATAAAGAAAAGAAGAAAGAATGACATGCTGTGTCCAGAGGAGCAAGGACAGAATGACAGTATATTTCTTTTTGAAACAATGCAAAAGAAGCAACATCATTGTAAAGAATTCATCATCTGCAGATCCACATTCATAAAATTATTTTACAAAGTCCTTCTGGTATAAGAAAAATGACAATAAAGGCAAATATGATAGAATAAAAAAGTTTGAAATGGTAACTACACAAGTGAACATATGTATTATTATCTTAAAATCTCTTTGAAAGCAAATTGATCATACAAAAGCAATACAATGAAGTGCAGGGTTTACAACACATGTAAAAGTAAAGTGTATGGCAACAATTTAGGTCAGAAGAGGAAAACCGAAGGCGTACTAACACAAATTTTTTACACTGTACATGGAGTGGTGCGGCCTAACTTGAAGGTTGCTATATTAGATATATATTATAAACTCTAGAGTAACCATTAAAACGAATAGCTAATTAGCCAATAATAGAAACAAAATGGGATCATATTTAAAAAGGAAGACAGAAAAAGAAAGGAAAGGAGTACAAAGAAGAAATGGAGAAAATAAGCAACACATTGTAAGATAATAAATTTAAACCTAGCCATAAAATAACACCACTAAGAATAAATATTCTAAAAAAAGAATAAATATTCTAAACAACTCAATTAAAATCAGAGACTGTCAAGTTGGATTTTATTTTTTAAAAAAGCAAGACCCATATACATGCTGCTTATAATAAATGGATTTTAAATATAAGGAAACAGATTAGAAGTATAGGAAAAGGTATGCCGTGCTTCCATTTATCAAAGAACAGATTTCAGAACAAAGAATATGATCAAGTATAAAGGAGACAAGTCACCAAAAGAACATAACAGTCCTATATGTTTATGCACCTAATATCAAAGCTTCACAATGCATAGAGCAAAACCAAACAGAGCTTCAATAAAAAACAGACAAAATGGACAAAAAATAGTTGATATTTAAAAACTCCTCTTTCAGCATTTCATAGAATTAAGTAAAAAGACAATCAGGACATAGAAGAGTTAAACAACACTATCAACTAACCTCACCTCACTGCTGTTTATACAGCATCCCACACAGCAGCAGAATCCACATTCTTGTCATGTGCACATAGAATATTTACCAAGTTTGTTCACTCACACATCAGTTTAAATAAATTTAAAAAGAATTCAAGTCACCAAGTGTGTTCTCAGGCCACAGTGGAATTAATATTTTAAAAAATTTTTTTTAAATCTGGAAAATCCCTAACCATTGGGAAATTAATTGACAAATTTTAAATGACTCATGAATCAAATAAATCAAAAGGGAGATTAGAAATGTTCTTAGCTGAGAAAAAATGAAAACATACATCAACATTTGTAGAATATTCTAAACCATTCTTGGGAAACTTACAGCACTAAACATCTATATTAGAAAAGAAGACGAGTCACAAGGCAACAATTGAAATTAGTGGTAGATTTTAGCTCCACTTCAAACTAGAAAAAGCAAAGCAAATTAAATCTAAAGTTAATGGAAGTTATGAGATAATAACGAGCAGAAGTAGACCAAATAGAAAACAGGAAAATAGAGAAACTGATGAAACGAAAAACTGACTCTTTGAAAAGGTCATAAAAAATAGAATAAAGCTCTACCTAGACTAGTCAGAAAAAAGAAAACATAAAAATTGCTAATATAAGTAATGAAACATGTGACTTTATTATAGATTTTACATTTGTTAAAAGAAGAATGAGGGGATATTATGAAAAATTAATGCCAATAAATCTAACGACTTAATGTGAAATAGGAAATCCCTCAGAGATAAAGTACCAAACCGAAAAAGAAATACAATAGCATTTTATGTAGTAGAGAATAGCCCTTATATACTAGAGAAATTGAATTTGTAGTTAATACATTTCTATAAAGAAAACTCCAGCTAAGATGACCTCACTAGTGAGTTCTACCAAACATTTTATGGGGGGGGGGGGGAACCAGTTCTACACTAATTCTCCCAAGAAAGTGAAAAAATTAGAGGACTACTTCCTTATTCATTGTATGAGGCCAGCACTGCCCTGGTTAGACAAAGACACCAAAGGTAAACCACGAGGACTGAGGATATAGCTTAGGATAGAATACTCGCTTAGTGTTGGATTCAAATCCCAGCGCCAGGGTAAAAAAAAAAAAAAAAAAGGGTAATTGAAATTTAAAGATCAGTATCCCTTATGAATCTAAGAACAAAATTTTATCAAAATGAATACAACTTAATATTAAAAGAATAATACATTATGATCATTTGGATGCAGCCTAGAACTGCAAGGTTGGTCTAACACTCAAAACTTTGTGTAATTTAGCATATTAATAGAAGAAAAATGAAAGCCATATAAACAGTTGTACAAATGTACAGAAGTCATTTAACAAAACCCAACATCCAGTTCTAACATTGCTTTTGGAATAAAAAAAAATACACCCTTAACCTTATTTTATAGAAAAAGATTTGCAACTAAAACAGATACTAATGGTCAAAGGATGGACGCTTTCTCCCTGCATCAAAAATGTGACAAGAATATGCATTCTTATCACTCCTATTCAACAATGCACTACTGAAGTTTTTAATCCAAAGTGGAAAAAGGTAAAACTATCTTTTTTCACATATGAAACTATTCTCTATGAAGAAAATCCTACATAATATCCAAAAAAAAAAAATCCTGGAACTAATAAGTCAGCCAATTGTGTGATAAAGATGAACGTTCAAAGAATAATGGTATTTCTATATAATAGCAATGAACAATTGCAAATAGAAATTAAAGTGCCATTTATACGAGCGTCAAAGAAATAAAATGTTTCCGTATAAAAGAAAAGAGATGCAAAAACTGTACACTGCAAATTACAAAGCAATGTTGAAAGAAATTGAGACAATAAATAAATAAATAGGTTCTCCCTTTCCTGATGCTCCAAAGACCGCGCGATCCAGACAAACCTGAGTTCCACTTTCCCATTCCACCACCAGAAAAGGCCTCCAGGTGGAGCTCTTTCATTCGATTCTTTTGCTATTGTCAGAAATGCCCATTTTAATGTTTCTAATTTCCTCTCAGCTGAGGAAACCTCCCCGCAAGCCTCAGGACTTCAATTAGAAGACTTCAATTAGTCTGAGGAACATATCACAGGAAGCATGTTAAATACACAAACCAGATGAGTTATCAGATTGAGTCCTTCCCTTATTTCAAGTATCCCGTGGTTCATTGTTAGCTTTCTCCTGGCTTCTGCAGCATCCCTTCAAGCTCACTGTGCTTCTGCTTAAAATGACTTTGCCAACTTCAACCCCCATAGGGTGGATGTTCCCCCATTCTTCAGTGAAAATTTCTTCCCATTCAAGCAGTGCATGCTCACAGAATATTCCCCCAAATAGTTCAACATCTGAACACAGAACAGGAGTAGAATGTTTTAGGAAAAAAGTCAGAATCCAGCGTGCTAACCCCTCAACACATGCTGTTCTCCTAAGAGAGGACCCAGAAGGGAAATTTCCCTGTAGAAGGGCCACAGAGACCACTACTGTACTCGTAAACAAGCTATTGCTTTTGGGGAGGGGGATTAACCACACAAAACTCCTAATCAAAACAATTGTGGCACTTGACCTTGTTTCTCTTCACTGTGTCTTCTCACCACCTAGGTTCTCTCTGTTTTTCCAGTCATGTTTAATATTCACTGTGGAAAATAATAACCCAGCAGAGAGGTGTGGAAGAACTGTCATCAGGGTTCTGGAGAGCAAGAGCCATACTTAAATCATCTTCTATACCACAAAGCAGTACACCTTACCTATCCCAGGCAGATACCTTTGTAACAGACACGAATACAGCAAAAGATACATGCTGGAACCCAGCTCACTTACACAATGCTGCAGCAATTCAAGACCAATTTCAGGTCTTACCCCAAAGTCTACAGAAGAGCTAGGGATATAGCTCAGCGGCACAGCACCTGCCTGGCAAGCGTTGAGGTCCTGAGTTTGATTCCCCGTACCCTCCCCCCCCCCAAAAAAATAAATAAAAATAAAGCTTACAGAGATATTTACTACTTTTTGGCTTATTCCCACTTATAATTTATAGGTTGAGAGGGTGTTTCATTTGCTCTGCCAAACAATGTGTATTGAAGGGCTGGGGTTTAGCTCAACACCTTGCAAGTGTGTGGTAATGAGTTCAATTCTCAGTAAAAAAAAAAAAAAAAAATGAGCCTCA